GAAATTGTTACACTGATATTCATAATATAAATAGGTCTATAATATTCTTTTCTTTTAATATCTTTGTCTTGATTTTGGTAACAGGGTTACCCTCGCCTTGTAGGGTGAGTTGGGAAATATTTCCAATTTTTGGTTGTTTAGAAAATATTGTGTAAAATTAGGATCCTCTGTTCCTTGAAAGTTGGTAGAACTTGCTTGTTAAATAATCTAGCCCTTTCCTGGTGAGAAGATATTGCTGAAATTTCTTGAATAGTTATAGAACACTTAATTTTTCTGAGTAAGTCTTGGTAAGATATATTTTTCTAATAATATGTCCATTTCATCTAAGATTTCAAAGCTGTTGGCAAAAGTTGTTGGCAGTATTCACTTTTCTTTTTACTTTTTTCTGTAGTCACTGTTTCTGTTTCATGCCTTATATTTTTCATTTGTATATTCTCTCTTCCTATGATCAAACTTGCTAGAGGTTTGTCTATTTTATTTTATTTTTTATCAATGTTTTGTTTTATTGATCTTCTTTATCATATTTTTGTTTTCTATTTCACTGACAGCTGCTTTTATTTTTATTGTATTTTTTCTTCTATGTTCTTTGAGTTTATTCCCTCCTTCTGATGTAAGTATTTAAAGCTATAGATCTCCCTCAAAGCACCACTTTGGCTACATCCCACAAGTTTTTGATGCATAGTGTTTTTTAATACCATTCAATTCCGGATATTTTATATTCATTATAATTTCTGCTTAAACCCCAAAGTTATTTAGCAGTGTGTTTTTGTAAAATTGTGAATGGAACAAGGATGCCCACTATCCCTATTCTAGTCAAAACTGTATATGAAGTCCTAGCCAGTATATATGTCATGAACCAACTGAGTGATCCAACTGAATAATCCTGAGGTCCAATGAAAAAAAAAAAGAAAAAAAGAAAAAATGAGAGATAGGGAAATCTAACAAGCTTCCAGGTAAATGGATGAGTTATTTTTAAAGGAAAAAGAATAAGAGCTGTAGGTAGACTTCTCATTTGCAACACTGAAAGCCAGAAGTCAAAGCATTAGCATAAACAGTCTACTGAGAGAAAAGAACTCAAGTATTCTACACCTAGCTAAGTTAGCATTACACCCATCAAGTTGAGAATTTATTTTATTTTGAATTTCTAAGGAACATTTACAAAACTTGATCATGTACTCAACATAAAGAAAAGCTTAACAAATTCAAAGAGGTATTATGTCACATTATTTAATCAGAATATCCCTAAGTTAAATAAATTATAAAAAAGTAACTCCCTTGCAAAACAAATTAGAAACTAAGAAATATATTCCTAGATAACCCTTTAATATAAGAAAAAATAAGAAATACAGAGTATTTAGATAGCATTGAGGGGGAACCTGGCAGAGGTGGAACCCGGCAGAGGTAGAACCCAGTGGAGGTAGATAGCATTGAAAAAGAAAATAATATTAAAAGCTATGAGATACAAAGTTTACTCAAACAAAAATTTATACTTTGAAATGCCTCTATTATTAAACAAAAAAGATGAGAAATAAAAGAACTTAGTAGTCCTTTCAGAAGTCTAAAAAATGAAAACAAAAAACAAAAAGAAACCAGGAAGAAAAAATTAATAAACACAGAAGTCAAAAGTAATGTCATGGAAAATAAAAGTAGTAGAAAGCATTAAAAACAAAAAACCCAAAAGCTAGTTCTTTGAAAGCCTGATAAATAATAAGAGATAAATAAAAGTAGATACCATTAAAAATCAGAAATTAGGTATCACCACAGATAGAGAAGATATTTTTAAAATAAGAGTATTACATGCCATATTATGGATACAAATATGAAATCTTAGAGAAAAATGAATTATTTCCTGTCAAAATATAAATAATAAAAACAGCTCAGAAGAACTGAAGATTTAAATAGTCAAATTACTACAGAAAACTCTGGAAACATTAAATAATTACCATTTAAAGAGGCACCAGAATCAGATGAGTTCATAATTGAATTTTACTTAATGATACTGGGTTCACATTCAAGTTTTATCTAACATTTAAAAACAGACAATCAAATGTTATTAAACCTATTTATTAACATCACTTAATTTTAACACAAAACTCTAATTAGTGCCCCTTAATAAAGAAAAATTATAGACCAATCTCATTTATAAATGTAGGTACTGAACTTATAAATAAAATATAACCATGTAGAAAATGATATGTTAAAAAGTAGTATCAGGAAATTTAGTAATAAAAATCCATTTTACCAGCTGGTTAAAGGAGAAAAAACATGCTTAATATCAATAGATGCTGAAAAGGCATATAACAAAATCCAAAAGCATTTCTAATAAAACATTTAAGTAAAGTTGGAATAGAAGGAAAATATTTGATTAAAAATAAACAATATTTACCAAAAACCAAACATCAAATATAATTCCAAGTGGAAAAACACCGAATGATTTCAATTAAAATCAGGAAGTAGACAAGGATGATCACTGTCACCATTATTATTTAACACAGTTTCAGAGGTTCAAATGGATTTAATAAGATATGAACAAGACAAGAAATAAGATAAAATATATAAACATTGGAAAAGAATAGATGAACTCTTTTTGGGGGGCATTGGGGCTGGTCATATAAATGCACAGCTAGAAAATCCAAGAGACACTAAATTAAAACTACTAGAAGTAATATGAGAATTTTGTAAATTTAATGGATATGAGACAAATATATAAAAATCAATAGCCTTTTTTCATCTATCAATATCAGGACATTGAAATAGAGCAAATAGTTCATTCACAGTAGATGCAAATATGATAGTCATAAGTTTTAAAAGAATGGCAAAGAAACATTCAAATAAAACTATAAGATTATATTAAAGAACATAAAACAACATAAGGACATACCATATCTTGAATGAATAAACTTTTATAATATTAAAAAGACTTAGTATCACTAAAAATGTCAATTCTCTAAAAATTAGTATAAATATAATATAATCCCAATTAGAATCCCTGTTAATATCAGAATTTAATGATATTATCTTAAAGTTTATGTGGAAGAATACCTTCTGTGAATATGTAATAAAAGTATACAGACTGGAAGAGAAAAATTTTACTAGATATCTATCAGAGTCTTTGGATTAGAGGTAAATAAATGATCTTAAAATTCAAATCAAAGAATAACTGCCTTCAAATATATATTTAAAAAGTAAGGACAAAGGAGAGAGAATAAACTTTACCAGCTATGAGAATATACTATTAAGTCAAATGAATATGATATTAATGGTACATCTAATAAATTAGTGGAACAGAAAAGAGAATACAATAATAGATACTAGCATTTGTGAAATTTTGACATATGACAGGTAGTAGGTTTATTTAGTGGGAGAAGGGTGGATTATTTAATACATAATACTGATACAACTGGCTATGTATTTGGGAAGAATAAAACTGGAGCCCCAAATCTCACATCATGTAAAAAATAAATTCCATACGTGCTACTGACTTAAATGAAAGAAAACCCAAGAGACCATATGTATAATCTAGGAATGGAATGGACTGTTTTAACCAAGACTAACCAGAAACAATAAAAGACATTAATTTGATGATACCCAAAAGAAAAACTTTGATATGGTGCAATTTACTGTGAAAAGTCAATAGACAAATTATACATTAGAAAAAACCTGAATATAGAAGATAATTACTTTACTATACAAACTGCTCTTAAAAATTGTTAAGGAAAATTCTAGTAATACAATAGAACATTGGCAAAACCTATGAATAGGTAATTCACAAGAGAAAAATTAAAATATCTGATTTTAAAGTTTGTATCTAGTTCCATATTGCTTCCAAGTTCATGTGACAACTTCTCTTCTCTTTCAGAATCAGTTCCTCTCCAGATTTCTCTAGTTTGTGGTGTGCTCCCATCATTAAAGACTTCCAAGCAAAGAAGTTCAGAGCCCTCTGTGACTTCTTTCTTGCCCTTGTCTACTCAGCCAGGTGTTTACCTCTCTATTCCTGGGTAGTCCTCTCAACCCTGATTCTATTTAAGCCTTCCCAGTGTGGCCATGGAGAGGGCCAAGGAGACACAGTGGGCATGAGTCTTGGAGCATGAGTCTTGGAGTCCAACTAGGTTTGCTTTCACTCCCTGCCATTTACCAGCTATGTGGGAACAAGTATGTTACCTCTCTGGACCTTCATTCTCTCCTCTGTAAGATGGGATAATTATACCTGCTATTCATGATCATTGTGAGAAGTGACAGAAGTAATTTATGTACAGTGCTAACATGGTTTCTAGCACACATTAGGACCTAAAAAATGTTAGTTCTCTACCCTACTTCAGTTTCTTATGGTTAGTCTAGGGACTGGGTTACCAGCAATGATATTTTCTAAATGGCTACCTGACTCCAATTTCTTGATATTTGGAACACCTCCATATGTTGATAGTAGCTTAATTTTGCTAAAACACTGCTTGTGTTATATCATTCTCCTGATTACCAATTTTCAAAGATTCCTTACTGCCTTCAGGAAAAAGTACAAACCCCATAGCCTTACTGCTAACATACTCATTGTTCTAAGGTAAAAATTTTAAAACCTTGCCCAAGGTTCCCAAAACATAATTTTTAACCTTTTCATTTGGGAAAATGAAGGGATGACTAAAAATTTGGAATCTCCTTATATAACAGCATATGCTATATTTTCCTTCAGTACTCTAAACCACCACCCACTGGGAATAATGATATACAAAAGAAAATTCTACTTTGTTTTCCTGAAATCTCACTTTGTACTTGAAATGTCTTTAATATATTCACTTAATATTTGCCACTCTAAATGGCAGAATAGGAATGGATGATAGCAAACATTTATCACAGAAACAGTTATTGGCATTGTTATTAATAATTAGGCATATTTACAACACAAACTAGTTAAAACAAGATTTTGTTGTGATTATGAGAGAAATAAAAATTTAGACATTACTTTATTATGTCTAGCTTCTAACAACAGCAAAAAATAATTCTTTTACCTAGTACTTCCTTTTGCAAGTCATGGCATCTGGTTTGCAAGTTTACTTCCTGTTGTTTGGATGTCTCAATTTGCTGAGATCTCAATATGGCTGCATCTGACGACAATTTCAGATTTTTCATTTCCTCTTCAAGGCATACATTATTTCTCTGGGACACTGTCAAACTTTTATTTAGCATCTTTATTTCTGTAAAGAAAATTCAAAGTTTACAAATAGATAACACTGGATCATAAAACATTTCTTAAAAAAAGATTATTTTCTTTTAGAAAATGAATAGTTGAAAGCCAACATGACTTCTCTGAGAGTATAGTGACACCTAACCAAAAAGTTAAGTTTTAATTTAGTAGTTATTCTGAAAAATAAATGAAAAAAGGATTGTACTGCTAAATGATGCATGAAACCTTTTAGTAGTTTTTTTAAGCCTTTAAATTGTATTAAATGGCAATCCTGCCTGCTTTTTAAATACTCACATGAATGAATAAAATAATATCCATGTAATGTTCTGGGTTTTATTGAAATTAAATTGTTTTCTTGGCAACACGATTCAGAAAAGTAAATTTAAATGTGTTAGCATGAGCTGGTTGGGAAGTATTTCTAGGAGATAACTAGGACATATTCTATACAAATTATGAAGAAAGGTGGTAGGGGTGGCGAGAAATAAAAGGATATAGTGTCTAAAACTAATAAATTTATGGGCAGAAAGTATTAGCTAATATATCTTAATGGATCTAATAACACTCTGTCCCCTCAAAATAAGAGCAGAATTTCATCATAGTAATCAATTCTCATTATTCTATCTACTTAGATTAAGTTTAATAACAATATGCCTTCACAGCATTATGTAGATTTAAATGTGCTAATTTTATATAATTTTGTGAGAAATGCATGGAACATTTTATCCTTCAGAATGATAATTATCAAGGTCTCCCTTGCTTAGTGTTTTCAGCACTGCTGCCTTAAGCCACCATTAAAATATACAAACACACATGCAATAATAGTAAAAATACTATAAAATTTGTACAACCACAATTAACTGAACTGATGAGGATGTGATCTACATGAAAATCTGGACAGTCTGCTTTTTCAGAGAGCTCACTTGGCATTTCTTCCTTGCTTAGCTCATCCTGGACTATGTGATGTGTTTAGTGTGTTATTGGGTGTCAAAGGAGGTTGGCTTGGTTTACTGGTCTTGGAGCCATCACAGCAGAAATAGTAGCCACATGGGCCAGCGAAGACCAGAAGTAGATATCCATGGGACAGACATGGCTGCAGAGGCAATATGGCCAGTAAATGGTTATAGGAGAAGTAAAGCAGTACGCTGAACAGAGCACAGAGAAGAGAGCATGCCCCAAGGGATGATGATAAGTAGGATCAGGAAATGTGGTCCAAGGACAGAAAAGCAAAATGCCTTTCTGTGGGAAGAAAGTACATCTGGAAGAAAAAGTGGCATTTAAGGTAGACCTAGGGCATGAACACAAGGGGTCTTGGCACTAACTTCACCTTTAATTCCTACTCAAAATGGAAAACCTAGAGAAATAAATTGGCAGGGATCAAATAAGTAGGGGGTCTACTATATTCCAATGGTTCCTTTATATGGGAATATTTTCCCCTAGGAATAGCTATATGCTTCTAAACTTTTATGGATATGTTCCCATTTGTGTGAGGAAAGCTACTAACACAGTAGTACATAGAATTTTTTTTTAAATGTAGTTAAAGAAAATAAGGAGGTTGCAATTTTTCTTCAGGACTAAGAAGTCTTCCTGGATAATTTTTCTAGCCATAATGGTAGCTTCTTATGGCTGAATAAACTGTACCATACCGTAACCATATCTGTCTATGATTAAGTCTGAATGACACTGCAGAGGAGTGCACACATGCTGTGACCTATTTATTGTTTGCCAGAATGGTACTGCTTAGGTTCACAGGCTGACTCTCTTAGTGTACACTACTATCTGTCTCTAAAATAACTCCTTGTGTCAATGTGACTTTCTATCTGACATTAAAAGAATAAGAATTTGCAATACAAATTCATTTGTGAAATATATTCTAACACATGGAAAAGTACAGTAAGATTTTTAACAGGAGGTTTCTAACATAGAAATAGGAGAGTAAACTCAATGGGGATCAATTAACTGACGCTTGGCAAATTATATATCCCCTGTACCTATGGCAATCCTGGTGTCAAATACTTAATCCTACTTTCATCATTAATACAACTTCATAATTGCCACTTATGTGTCCCAATTTGGGTTCATAAATTATGATCAACCTATTCTGGTCATTGTACCCACCATACACTTTCCCTGTCTTTGCACCGCCCCATGAAGAAGGTCCTCCTAGCCTCATACATTGGACCTACCACAGCTCTTAGGCTATCTCTGCCTGGAAATCTTTCCTGACCAGATCTGTCGCCAGTTACACTATTTCTATGGCACTGATCATATGCATACATGTGACCTACTATTTGACCGTAAGTTATTTTAGGCCAGAGGTAACATCTCATTCATTTTTTATTCCTCCCATAATTTCTGCCACAACATTCTAGAATTAACAGAAGCTCAATAAATAGCTACTAAATGAGTAAAGGCATTATTGCACAAAGGTTCTAATATACCACTAGTTGAAAATCCTAAATATGTGTTTATCTTAACTCTCCCTTCACTTCAGAGGCAAGCATTTTAAGCCGCAAATTATTTAATGTAAGACTTGATAAGGCAGTAAACACACACACATCTAAAAGAAGGAAACATTTTTAATAGGATAAGCAAATAGGCCTATTCTATCCCCAGTTTCATCAATTTTATGAAAAATGTGGACTACATTTCTAAGCCTAATTCAGAACTTGAATTTTAAAAGTTCAAGAGCTATTCGGTCAAGAGTTATTTTGAGAGTGGAAGCAAATTGATTCTATGCTTGCTAAAATATTCTGCCTTGGTAAAAATATTATTTTTTTCTGAAATTTCTTCTACTAAAATAGCTATGATCTGATTTGAGAAAACCTAATCTATGAAAAGTTAGACTTAAAAATATTGATTACATAAAGTGATAACCACTAATTAGAAGAATAAGAAATACTTCACTTGTATCTTCTACTTAATATTCAGCATACTTTGTCAGCAAGAAAATATTAAACAATGCATTTCTCTAGAAACTTCCTTCCTATTTTGGACTTTGATTTTAAATGTAAATTAATTATAATGTGAAAATCTTTTAAAGTATCTGAATAATGTGTGCAGTGTATACAGGGTTTACTACATTTATTAGTTTGGTAGGGCTGCCATAACAGAGTATCACAGACTGGGTGGCTTAATCAATAGAAATTCATTTCTCACAGTTCTGTTGGCTAGAAGTCTGAGATCAAGGTGTCAGGGTTGGTTTCTTCTGAGAGTCATAAAGGACAGATCTGTTCCAGGCCTCTCTACTTGGCTTGTAGATGGCCGCCTTCTCCCTGTGTCTTCACATTGTCTTCTCTCTGTGTGTCTGTTTCTAAATTTCCTCTTCTTGTAAGGATACCAGTCATTTTGGATTAGAGCCCACCCGTTTAAATTTAATTGTTTCTTTAAGAATCCTAACTCCAAATATAGTTATATTCCAAGGTACCAGGGAGTTAGGACTTCAACATATGAATTTGAGAGAGACACATTTCAGCCCATAATGCTATATTTTAGAATAATTATTGGCATTTATGTTGTGATTATAAATATGCAAAAATAGGTGAGCATGTGGAGTATAGAAGATAAAATGGAAAACTGAAAACAACTGAGTTAGTATAGAGGAATTAGGAGTTTATTTTACTTCTTATAAAAATGTTTCAAGTTGGGCTTCCCTGGTGGCGCAGTGGTTGGGAGTCCGCCTGCCATTGCAGGGGACGCGGGTTCGTGCCCCGGTCCGGGAAGATCCCACATGTCGCGGAGCGGCTGGGCCTGTGAGCCGTGGCCGCTGGGGCTGCGCGTCCGGAGCCTGTGCTCTGCAGTGGGAGAGGCCACAGCAGTGAGAGGCCCACGTACCGCAAAAAAAAAAAAAAAAAAAAAATGTTTCAAGTTTTATTTTACATCAACTTTTCAAATGAAGAACTATGCCGTGCAGAATCAACTCACACCATAAGGATATATCCATGTGATCACAAATAAAAGCTAGTATTGAAAAAAAGTATGTTATTTAAAATGTTTGTAATATTGTCAAAGTTTATAGCTGATAGATGTTTTTAGCTTTTAAAGTAAGTGTAACAGAATCTGCTAGCTGATGCAAGTATAATTATTAGTATTAATCTCATACAATCAATTTATTTGCCTTGTTAAAATTTTTCTGTTGTTCTTAGTCCTGTTAGCTTAGTCAATGAACTTAAAATTATGTTACATCATTAAGTTTTTAGGAAGTCTCTATAACCTTATTACCAAGGCATACTGATATAAAATAATATTTAAAAACTCTGAAACACTAGATTTATTATTTAATGAAGAAGTCATAAAACACTATATAGGTTATTTTTAAAAAAACTATTTTGAAATACTTAGAGATTTACAGGAAGTTGTAAAGAAATGTATAGGAAGGTCCTGTGCTGCTTTTATTCCTCCTCTCCCCATGTTGACATTTTGTATAACTACAGTACTCTATCAAAATTAAGAAACTGCTCTTGGTATAATCCACAGAGCTAATTCAGATTTCACCAGTTATACACACCTTTCTGTGTGTGTGTGTGTGCGCGCATAGCTCTATGCAATTTTATCACATATGTAGCTTTGTATAACTACCAACACAACCAAAACATAGGATTATTCTATCACCACAAAGCTACCTCCTGCTACCCCTTTATAGCCACACCTACTCCTATCCCCACCACCATCCCTAATCCCTGGCAACAACTAATCTGTTCTCCTTCTCTATAATTTTGTTATTTCAAGAATGCTACGTAAATAGACTCATGTAACCTTTTTGAGGCTGGATTTTTTTCATGCAGCATAGTCCCTTGAGCATGTATTAATAATCTGTACCTTTTTTATAGCTGAGTAGTATCCCAGTTTGTTCTTCATTCACTGAAGGATATTTGGGTTGTTTCCAATTTTGGTTATTATGAATAAAGCTGCTATGAACATGTATGTACAGGTATCTGCATGAACTTAGGTTTTCATTTCTTTGGGACAAATGCCTAAAAGTGCAACAGCTGGGTCATGTGGTAAGTGCATGCC